CGATTCGCTCTATGTATGAACAGGGATAAACATAAAAAGAGTTTCCAAAGAGGAGAGAATCTGTCCTTTCAGAGTTCTTTTCCAAGATTTTCACAAGAACCTTTTAAATATCAAATCTCTAACCCTATGTAATTTCTTTAGTATATATATATATACTAAGAAATTTTCATTAACAAATAAAAGAACCTTCGAAGAAGAGTACAAGCAAGGGGGCAAGACCTTACCTTATCGATCCTATTGTAATGATAAAACTCTACTACTTAGTAAGCATGGAAAAAAAAAGTTAGCGAAAACTAGATATTTAATGATCATCGTAGAGTTTATAGTATTCTCTATAATGATATTACAAATGAAGATACATAATATATTTTATTTTTCGATTCTCTCTATTTTTCCATTACTTCTTTTTTTTTTTTTAAATGATGGATCAGATTCCAAAATTACCTTTGATGTGTTCATCATTTCTTCCTCCTCTACTTTTTTGTTTTGTTTTTAGTTTGTTATTTTATTTCCGTTGATGGTGTGTGTGGTGATGAACTAAAGAAAATGATGGTTGCTATGATATTTTGTCTATAAACACATGGCCAAAGTCATATGCGGCCACTCAAACTTGTTTCGATTATTCATTTAGACACCTCAACTAGACGTCCTACCTATTGAACACTTCAGTCATTCTGAATTTGAACCATTTGAACATTTTTCTGATAATAAACAAAAAATAAAGGATGTGTGAAATACACTCGCTCTGACATATCAATTTGACCAATTAAATAATGACATGTGTTATTTTTTAATCCAAAAAATTATTTAAACATTATATTATAGAGTAAAAAAAAGAAAAAAGAAGAAGTAAAACTTAAACACCCACTTCCCTACCTTCAACTGGAATCCAAAACATACATTTCCCTCTAACTCCATTAATGGCGATCCTCCCCTCCCTGTACAGTTCCATCTTTAACCCGACAATTTTTTTTCATCAGCTTTTTTATTAATTATAACTTTTTACTTCATCTCGTTTTTTAGGTAGAGAAAGATAGAGAAAAAAATCTCTCCAAAAAATTTATAAATGAAACAAAATGCTAAGAATTTTGAAACCATTAGAATGGTGGGGGAAGAAGATAACCACTGATACTAAGAATTTTGAAATCATTAGAATGGTGGGGGGAAGAAGATAACCACTAGTGCATGGGTATGGGGGTTGGGGTGGGGTTGATAGAAATAGGGAAGAAGAAGACAACTGTTCTTCTTCTTTTTTGTTAATTATTTTTAAAAAAAATTACCTTAGGGGTATAAATTAAGAAGAAAAAAAAGAAAAATATTATTTTTAATAAATTAACGCGCTCAAGGAAAGTGAACTACACGCTTTTTGCCATGTCACCATTTTGTGTCTAATAGGAATGACTTTTGAACAAATAAAATGTTCAATTGGCACAAGGATTAGTTGAGGTATCTAAATGAATTATGCGGAGAACTTTGAGTGGTTGGAGATGACTTAGGCCTAAACACAATGAAAGATGACATAAGTTTGGTTCTTGTGAAAGTAGAAACACTCATGATGACATCAAAAGGTTGAGGTCTTAGTCATATAGTGACTTCTTCGTTTAGTAGCGCGATGATATGCTAATTTATTCCATCTAGGTAACAACTGAAAAACTCTAGGTCTTTTTGGTGAAGCATTTGTCGATAATCAAAAGTCTCGATTATGTCATGAGGCTGACTGAATCAAATTCAGAAAATTCGAGAATAAAAAGTTGTTCATTCTATTTCGTCAAATAGATAAGTAAAGTAAGGATACAAACCACTTTAAATAATAGAATGCATCCAACCATAATAAGGATACAAACCACTTTAAATAATGGAATGCATCCAACCATAATTTCAGATTTTGAGTTCGAACTATTAGTATTGAAATATTATGATAGAAAATACTTTTTATTTAACGATCTTACTCAACACAAATTTTAATTAGTAAAACTCCAATATAAATATTAGAAAACCATCGTTATGTATTGAAATGACATAATAATTCATTTTCACATTATAAGGGTGATGCATTCATACAAAAAAGACGACAACAATGCATTTAAAGCAACCATACAATAGAAAACAACAAGACAAGTCCATGCCTATTCTCTCATAGAACTTGTATTAGCTAACAAAGGTAAATTGTTAATTGACCCCAAGTAGCAATAGGTTCACATGAACCCATTAAACAAAATGTTCATCAATATATATCCATAAAAGGTAAATGATTTGCTTGACTCAACATAGCAAATGAATTAGCTTATCTCTTTAGTAATGATTATATAACAAGTGAGACATTTTAGTACTAAAAATATTATAACAAGTGAGACATTAGTACTAATAAATATATCTCAAGATAATCACCACATTGCATATATTAAAATATTCAAACAAAAATGGTCCAACTCACTTATCATTGTAGTACAAATTAAAAACATGTGTTTCATTTCCTCCGCGAAAAGATTTTAGGCATAATATCTAGGAATATTCGAACCTGACGCTTTTTATTTATCTTTTATGTCTTAATTTATGTGATATCCCAACTGTACCTTTTTCCGTTGTTTTTTGAGAGCCAAACAGTTTAAGTTTGATTTAGAAGTTTGCTCGTGAAATCTTCAATTTTTTAAAAATAAAATTTATATATTTGTAAACTTCGTAAAAGGTATTATAAGTCACAATAATTACAAATTCAAAATAATTAAAAGATATATGAAAAATTTATGATCAAAGATAAATTATTTGAATTTTAAAATAAAAAAACATTATATAGATTGAGACACAGAGAGTAATATATATTTCAATTATTATTGATCGTCCCAATATCTATCTGAATATTGTAATTTGCTAAACTTTGCCATCTGAACGCTGGCTTGACAAAAAGTATAATAATATACGCTCTTTTAAGCGTGTAAAAGTAAAAAATTAACTTTGATTCAACTGACATTTATTTTTGTTAATTGGAGTGTAAATATAAATACTAAAGATTTTATAAAATTAAACATGTATACATATATATCTTACATTATTATAATACACGTAAGATAATAAGACATCATGTATTGTAGAATGCTGCATATAATGTAATTACAAGTAAAACGTCAAATAAGACATATATGTATTTATTTAATTACATACAAATTTAATTATTTAATATTTATACATACCTAAAATTAAATATATATAAACATACATATTTATATTATATCGATTTCATTAATATTAACAAATCTTTAATTTTAACTTTCCGACATAGATCATAATCCATTTACTTGAGAGAGTCTTCTGTGCGTTATTTTGTCGTGATCTCTGTACGCACGCACGAGGAACCCCACAAAGTAAATTCTCTTGTATGTCATATCCAAAAGTCATTTCACATCCAGGTGAAATGTGTCAGATTTATGGGTGAATCGAGAATTTAAATTTTATAAATTTATTTTTAATTTTTTTAATAAAATTTAAATTTTTATATTAGTTTTTTTAATTAATTAAATTTTTATATATTATTTATTGTTAAATAGATAATATATATGAATTTAACGTTAAAGAAAAAAAACAAATTTATAATTTGCTATATTTAGCGAGTCATAAGTTTAATATCGATACTTTTTAATATCACTACTTTACATTTATCATTTTTAAAATCTTAACATAAAAACTTACGTGCTCATCATTTTTTTTCCGTTTAATATTAAATGTTCATCTTATTATAAATAGTTATCAAATAAGGCACCTCAAACGTATAGTGTAAAAGTGCTCACAGTTTTAATTTAACTCGCTTTAACTATGATTTGAAACTTTCACTCCATGAGAAAGGAGTGTCACAAATGAATGGGTGGGTGGGTGTGGGGGGGGGGTCCGTTAATTGCGTATTCATGTTTTTCTTGTTTTACTAGCTAAGATCAAATTGTCACATGTCCCTTTCATTTTAAATTACTTGTTCATTTATAATAGATAAATAAATAAAAATTCGTTTTATCTTTATAATTAATGTTTTATGAAAGCCTAAATAAGTTATAAACTTCTAAAAATTTCTTTTTTAAAAAAAATGAATACGAAGACATATTAGTAAAATCATTCATATTATTTATAAATGTGAATAACTAATATAAAGTAGGGAGATTCTTTGATTCCGTATTGAACATAGATTCATGTTTTTCTTATTTTACTAGGTAAGATCAAATCATTACATTTCTCTTTTGTTTTAAATTATTTGTTCATTTATTAAATAAAAAATAGACATATAAATGAAAAATTATTTTTCTTCCATAATTAATATTTTTGAAAGTCTAAATAAGTTAACTGATTATGTTAATAAGAGGGGTATTTTTGATCTTTATATATTGACGGAAAGGGTATATTTGAGCCAAAATATAGTTCAATGATATATTTAAGTTATTTCAGATAGTTTGAAGATATTTTTGATTATTTTCTGTTCATATTATTTATAATTATGAATAACTAATATAAAACGGAGAGAGCAGTAGTTATGACAATTTTGGTTAGCTTTTAGATATAAATTGATGGTCCACATTATGAAGAGTAGTAAATTAGCTTATGCCATATGGTGTTGATGTATAAGTCTATCTATACATATAGATTCAGAAATTGCTGAGACCCATTTTTTCCCTTTTTCTCTTTAATTTCCTTCTCCTCTGTAAGACACTCTGTCTCTCTCTGTCTTGGTTTCAGTTTTTTTTTCAAAAAAAAATTGTATATATGATTTCCATGATTTTTTATATTTTATCTTTGGTTCCCTTTTTTATCTTTTACACTTTTAGTTTACTTGCTTAATTCCCTTTTGTTTGTTTTAAATTATACATGCACTGCTTGTTTGATTTTGTATATTTTATTAATTATGTGGTTTACTATATTGTCATGTTTGGTTGACTGTTGAACTCTTTCTTAGTGACTTACTTCAAGAAGAACAATGATATTTTTCAGAAAAAGAAGCTGTAATTTTGCTTAAGACTTTTCTTGAAATTTGTACTTTGACTAATTGTTGTGCATGTATTCGTCAAATTTGGGCTCTCGATCCAGCTCCAGTTGTTTGAGTGTGAAAGAGGTGTTATAGTGGGCTAGATCCCGCGTTGGTTGGGGAATGGAAGGGTGATTCGTTCATATGCACTTGACAATAATTGTCATACTTTTACATGGTATCATGGTATCAGTGTCATGTTCATTTTTGTTTGGGCTTTCGCTCCACACTCTAGTTGCGCCTTGGCGTAAATGGGGTGCTAGAGTAGATTAGAGTCTCATGTTAGTTGGGAAAAATGGACTTGTGGTCTGCTTATATGAACTTGAACAATTCTAGCATGAGATAGTTTTTAGGGTTGAGTTAGAACTGAGTGTCACATCTTTACAGGATGCTAGTAGAAATGTACGGGAAAATTTCTCCCCCGACTTGCTTGGGATTGAGGCCTGGGGGTGAACGGGGTGCTAGAGTGGGTCAGAGTCTCATGTTAGTTGGGAAAATGGACTTGTGGTCTGCTTATATAGACTTGGACAATTCTAGCCTGAGGTAGTTTTTGGGGTTGAGTTAGACCTGAGTGTCACATCTTTACAGGATGCTAGTAGAAATGTACTGGAAAAATTCTGCCCCGACTTGCTTGGATTGAGGCCTGGGCGTGAACCGGGGTGCTAGAGTGGGTTAGAGTTTCACGTTAATTGGGAAAATAGACTGGTGGTATACTTACATGGACTTGGACAATTCTACCTTCATGAGCTAGTTAGGTCCCAATTGTAGTTGACTTCTTGTATGTTGTGATTTGTGCAGTGAACGAATGGCTTTTTCGGGATCTAAAGAAGATGGAAGAGAGGTGAAGATTTACGAGTATTTGGATGAACTAAGCACTGATCTAGCAGACTATATTTCAGAACTCTCAGAAGCTTCTGTGAAAGAGAGGGGAGTATTTGCCATCGCGTTATCTGGTGGATCCCTCATTAGCTTAATTACGTACGTAAGCACACTCACTATCTGTTCATATTTGTTCTGTTGCCTTTACTATAAGATTGTGTAAATATGTTTGAAAACTTGGAGGAAGCAGAAAACTATGTGAAGTCCCTTACAGCAAGACTGTTGATTGGTCCAAATGGTATATATTTTGGGTGGACGAACGTGTTGTGGCGAAGAATCATGTTGATAGTAATTACAAGCTAGCCAAAGATGTTTTTTTGTCTAAGGTAAACGTCTCGACTTCAACTTTATTCTGCTCAGTATTTGTAGTTGTGAGCCTCAGTACGGGTTGTGATTCATTATAGACGTGTTCTTTGTCATGAGATCTTTAAAATAGATCTCTTCTAAGAAATTGTTTTGGGATGATGGAGTTTACAATAGTCAGATCTCGATATTTCACTCTAAGAGTACGATCACAACATCCTTGTGGAAGAATTAGTTTATGTTAAAATTGTCCACGTATGATACGGCTTGAAAATGCAGGGTATCTTCCAAGCTTTTGTGTTCTTGTTATCCTTTTAGGCCTGTCCATCTCTTTGGTCATTTACGAATATCATGTAGACTTCTCGTGCTAGTCATGTCTAACATTTTCGAGTACCTTTATGTAATCTGCTAGCTGTGGAAAAGTATCAAACACGAAAGTGTACTGTTACCTGTTCACTTATCTCCTCTTTCTTTTTTACCTGGTTTGTGTATTTTGACATCATATTTCTATCTTCTGTCCTGGAAGTATAGTTATGACGTATAACCATATACGGTTTTGCTTATCATTGATTGTGGTAGGATAAATCCATCATTCTTGTTCCGATATTGTATCCACCTTAGCCATATCTCAATTACAAGGAATATGATTGTCTAGTTAATTTACCACACATCTCGGACTTTGAATCCGTTGTTGTAATTGCTCGAGTGCAACAATCAACTTAATGTGAAAAGACTCGCAATTGTATATACAATTATGAAGTTTGATGGCCAGGTTTAGATATTCTGTACGGCCATTATACTTTTTTCTGGTGTTAACTATTGTTATACGAGTCTCATCGATCTGTTTTAATGGTATAGAGACGAGTGGTGAAGGAATTGAAAAAAATGATAGACTTTTAGTAAAGTTTCCCTCTTCTTATCCACAATACTCTAATTACTTAAACGAACGAAAAAAGAGAGACTAAGGAGGTGAAATCGTGGTTGTATGATAGTACATTGAAGGCAATACTCACTTGTGTTTTCATTTTTTCAGGTCCCTATAGTTCCAAGCCATGTACATTCGATTAACGACACAGTGACAGCTGAGAAGGCTGCTGAAGACTATGAGTTTGTAATTAGACAGCTAGTAAGGACTCGTGTAATCAGCGTTTCAGACGTTAGTGACTGCCCCAAGTTTGACCTCATCTTACTCGGGATGGGACCTGACGGTCACATTGCATCTCTATTCCCTGATCACTCCATACTCGATGAGAAAGACGAATGGGTAACTTTTGTTACCGACTCACCTAAGCCACCTCCGGAGAGGATTACTTTTACTTTGCCTGTCATTAACTCTGCTTCTAATGTGGCTGTGGTTGTAACTGGAAGCAGCAAAGCAGAGGCTGCACATTTGGCAATTGATGATGTCGGACCTGACGTTCCGTCATCGCCTGCAAAGATGGTCCAGCCAAATAAAGGGAAATTAGTATGGTATCTGGATAAAGCAGCAGCCTCAAAACTAGATTGCACAAGATTTTCAGAGTAGGGCCTAAGGGTTACAAGCTCCCTCTTGTCAACAAAATGTACAACAATATGGGGGCACAAAGCATGTGGAACTTAGTACATTCTAATCTTTTGTCAGGATTTTGTAGTTCCATCTTTTCTTAATTTAGTGTGGTTATTGACCTTTTGTGATGGATCAAGTATATTCCCTATTCTTATGCAAGGGGACATCAATAATAGATCCTTACCCACCTTTGAACTAATATGAAAAGACGATGACCTATGTTGTTCGGACTTTTCAAAAAAATTGTCACACTATTATCGAATTCTTTCAAAATGTACTATTTTTGGAGGATTCAAATGGTTTCATTCAGCATTTTGAAGAGTCCTAGAAAAATGTGATACTTAGAAAGGTTATGGGGGCGGTTTTAAGACTATGTAGAGTTGGGTAGTTTTAAGGTACTACGATGACTCAACTGAAAATTTTTAGGTTTAGCAAACATTAGTTTGTATAATTGCGCTTCATAACAAATTTTTTATTTGCTATGGCTATTAATCTATATATTTCGGTATGCATATACATGAAAATATGTATTTGAGTCTATTTGTATATTTCGGTATACAGGTAGGTTCTTCATTATTTCGATATACAAATGGGTCCTGTATTTTTTTCGGTATACAATGGATCCTGCATTTGTATATTTCAGTATATAAACGGGTTCTGCATTTGAATATTTCGGTCTAATTGTATATTTTGATATACAAATGGGTCCTACATTTGTATATTTCGGTATACAAATGGGATGACAAAAAATATGGAATGTTTGCTACGAATTACAAATAGAAGAAACTATGGCTATAACATTTAGTTTGAATTAATAGTTTATTATTTCATACAATTTTCCTACACGTAAACCCCATACATAACATTAAATAATCGGTATAGAATTTTTAAAAAAAATTGTACTCAGCAATAACGTTGACCGCTCCCAATTTTATCAAATTTTTAAATAAAAAATATAGCTAATATCAGGGACGTCACAATGAATCAAAATTAGAGCACACTATCTATCTCAAATATTTAATCAATATGAAAGAAAAATTAAATCACTTTCTCAGTAATCACAACTTTTTGATTACTAATAAAAAACACACCAATGATTTTCATCTAATCTAAGAATATGCACTGTGTAGCGTTATTTCACTACATATCGAAGGTATATCAAGAGTTCATGTTATTCTTATATTTTCTTGACCTTAAATACTTCATATTTTTCTTTCCCAAGGGCTTTTACTAGTGTTTCTAGTTTGGTTTAAAAATGTATTCTCTTCGTTCAGAAATAATCATTAGGTGTAGTAAAAATAGATGTTCAAGATTAATTGTCAATTTAAACAATCAACAACTAATTAGCTCATTTTTTCCAATTCTATCCTTAATAATTATTCATTTTAATAATTATTGAGCTAAAGTTACAGAAGACTTTAATTAATAAAAGGTCGCTTTTGCAATTTTCAATAAAATATCAACCATTCTAAGTACAGCTTTTTAAGAGTCATTAGAGTAGTAGCACGTAAATATCCATTCTTCGTATACCAAAAGCCCATTCTCTGTATTTATTCTCTGTATAAACTTCATTTGTCTTTAAATGTTAGAGTCATTAGAATTATTGTTATAAACCTGACAATTATTTCTAGGGCTATATTAGTCAAATTACATATTATATTAAATTTTTCTTGAGAGAATTATATCATCTAAATCTGACAATTATTTCTGGATGGAGTATATGTTTGATCATGTGCTTATTTCAATCTCAATTACAGGCTAATCATGATTTTGACCTTGATTGATCGATAAGATTATTTATCACTTTAAATATCATTTATCTTGCTTTATTGTTTTGGGTAATGCTAAATTGCCAGAAAATTTGGCCAGAATATAGCTATAAAATTAAAAAAAAATAGAATATCTTTTTTAATTTTAAAATAAACTAATTTTTTTTCTATTTTTAGTTAAAAGATATTAAAGCTAAAATGATAAAAATATTCAAAAAGATAAAATAATATAGGTAAAATGCTATTCTGGTCAAAAAGATTTTTCCTATAATTTTGATCACTCCGTTTAATTCAAATAAAAACAAAATAGTGTTAATGTAAACAATCTTCCCCTATCCCTCTATTCCATGTCGAGTGCATATGAACATTATGGAAATTTTGTTCCTCTATTTATTGAACGAGTCTTTAGAAGAAATTATTCGAACAATTATTTCTTAAATAAAAAGGGATCAATGTAGAAATTTTGTGTTGGACTTCTATCATATTATCCTAATAAAGCTAAATAAACATAAATTTCTTTTCAATTTTTTTGAGAGGTCTTCCATAACTAAAAGGAGAAAATGAGAATATTAGATTAAAGAAAGTAAAATTATTAATCAAAATGAGCAGAATAAAATAAAAACTAGAAACCAAATATATTATAGGGATAAATTTTTCAGTACAAAACTTGAAAATAGCAAACATTAGAGACTAATCATCCATGATATATAATTAAAAAGGTCTCCAAATTAAAGTCAACCATAAATATTAATTTTCTTCCAGTGCAAGTAGAATTATTCCATAAATTCCAAATTTTGCTTCACTCCTCCAAAGCTAAATTAACCTATATTAATCAAAAATAATATTTATGTTAGACAATCATTTCACCATACATTATATATAAGAAATTAATAAAAAGAACTTATCAAGATCAAATTAACTAATTTTCAGTGTAAATTCAAATATATGTTTTTATTTTGTTAGAAACATCAAAAAATGTTATAAATTTTACTAGTTAACAATTTAAAATATCAAAAAAGCGATATTTAAATTCATTTAACTTTTGATGATAAAATATAATCAAAATAATGATAAAATCTTACATTGTTGTAGTTCTCACTTCTCAGCCAAGGTCCCATTTGGAGTATTTGGAATGTACCTAGCCCACTATATGAAAAAATTATTATATTATATTATATTATTTTTTGTAATTATATATGTGCTATAAAAAAATAATTAATGTAATAAACTTTAATTTCAAAAAAATTAATCATTTTAACTCACATTTTTAGCTGCTGCACTGAAAGCTTCTCTATGTGGTATCTGTGGATGTGCTGCTTTAATACGCTGTATCTCATCCCTTTATAATAATTAAATAAATTAAGAATAATTATTTAAATAAATAATCATGATTTTATGAAAAACATGTATTTTTTTTTATTTACATTCTCCTTAAGGAAAATATTGATTAGAATACGTATATGACTATTTATAATCTTGTTTGTAATTTTGAAAAACAATTACTATTAAGGATAAAAAATATAAAAAAAATTAATTACTTTTTTCTTGAAAAACTAAAGTGGCAATTATTTTGAGAAAATAATTTGAGACTTGAGGGAATATAATCTATGAGCATTTAAAAATTAAACTGAATGAAAATAAGAAAATGATTTTTTTTAAAAAAAAGTAAATTTACTAGTAGACAGTGTTTAGCGGTCTTTTATTACACGTAAAAAATATCAATAAAAACATGAAGATGATGTTTTACTTCATAAACCGATTGTAAGCAGATGGTAGCCTGTGCTTCTTCTCAGGAGCTTCAACCATAGAATACAAAAAAAAACATAAATTAGTTTATATAATAAGCTTAATAGAGGGTTGATTGTATCGATGATCACTTAATTTTTACTTTATATATAGTCATTTTATTATATTTTGTAAAAGAAAAAAGAATAACATGAAAATTACTATATTTTTTTAAAAAAAATCACTCAAACTTTGCGTAAATATTGAAGTAAGTCATTATAAAGAGATAAAAGAGACATTTTATTATATGATATTTACTATGAAAAAAATATATTAAACTAGCTGCAACTAACTAGCTCCTAATTAATTGGACTTTATGTCGCTAATTCATAAATAAATGAGATTAGCATGAAATTATTATTGTTTAACTAAGAAATTTAATTTTTCTCTAATTTCTTATCTTTTTAGTGTTTAGGCAAAGTTGAATAATAACTATTATTACAAAAATAAACTGTTTAGTTAGTAACTTAATTATTATGCTTTTTGGGGCAAAGTTTGATGACAAGAAATAGTTTAGTCACATAAGTAAATTTTTATGTTACAAATTATATATATGCTTACGTTTTACAACAAAAGGTGCCTTTGGAGATGATGGTTCACTTGAAGATGAAGACTGTCCCTTCTTGAAATTGTTGAAGAAATCTTGATGCTTTAACAAAAAGAAAACATATACAAAAAAATGAAAAATGGAAATTAAATTAATTAATTATTTAAAGTAATTTTAATAATAATTACCTGAAGAATGGGTTGGTGATCAAAAAATTGTGGTTGAATTGGAGGTCTACTACTTAAAAAGGAAAGATTACCACAATGCCCACATTTCACTGTCACAGTATCCAACAACTTCTTGCATGGTATTCCCACCTATTTATAACCAAGAAATGACAAATACCTTATAAATTATATGCATGGACAATTTAAAAAATAAAATTATATATTAAAAGTTCAAAATATACTTTTATATGTACATATAGTAACTGTCGAATCGTCTTAGCCTCACATCATATTTTTAAATTCTAGTTTCGTTACTACCTACAACTAACCTCTACTACATGTCACCAATATAATGACTTATTATTATATTTACATTGTCAATATATATATATATAAAATAAAAAAAAACAAATGTTGACAATATGAAAAATAGAAAGTTGAAAAGTGAAGAACGAGAGAAATGATAGTTATATATATAGCATGTGATTTGACAAAATAGATTTATTATCTCTTATCTTATGCTATATATAAATAAAAGTCAAATCATATTTTATATAATAAGAAGAAAACAATCATAGTAGCTTTCTATTGAACTTTCATGTCTTTCTATTCTATTGCCCTTTATCGAAAAAAAAGGACTAATTCAACGAGATATGTCTGTTAAATATGTAATAATAATAATAATACGTACCGCGAGTATAGTGTTACAAAAACTGCAACGGACATAGCAAAGATGTTCAGAAGGATCCATGGTGTTAATTTTATGATCAGCAGATTCCAATAAGTTGAGACAAGAGGAATTAGGAGATGAGGAAGACATATATATAAGTAGGCAAGTATATATATTTTTTTGGACTTTGAAGAGTGTATATATATATATATATAAAAGTTCAAAGATGAGAGTAAAATAAAAGGCAAAAGGTATAGGGTTTTGGGGTTTGTATCTAGCTAGATTTATTCTTTTGGACTATTCCTCGAAAATAGATGTTCATTTTTTACTTGTTCAGTATTAAATTAACATATTTTTAAAATA